CTCGACTAAACAATGTCACTGACATCATTTTGCTTTGCTTTTCTCAGTAGTACATAGGAGGAGATGCTGGCAGAAGTACCTTGGTCTACCTGTCCTGCCTGGAGGACTGAAAGATAAAACTCTGCAAGAGAGAAAGAATGCAAGAAGCTAAAAAAAAGTTGATTGCAACATTTACAGATTGTGCTTCCTCTAGGTCAACTACAGATCAACTCCACAGAAGAATCATTTATACACAAGACAAAAGCTGTAAAAACGTCTGCTCGCCAAAAATTCTAAGTTTTCATTATAGTCTTTCCTCAATTTGAATCAGCGGTCACCTGTGATTATCTTAAGGTCACTGGAAATCATTTCATTTTAAAAGTAACATTTGTAAGTAAGAAGTGGTAAGAAATGTGGGTCGTTATTTCTAACATTCTGTTTAACAAATTAAAAAGAAAGTTAGATAGCTAGACACTTGTGGATTGAACCAAGATATACTGTCAATTCTCAAAATTCTCCACTTACATCACTTAAAACCAGTAAGGACCTGGGTTCTAGGAAATGCTAGGAGGGCATGATTTCATAAGCATTGATTCAAGCCCTGAAAACACAGAATCCAAAATGTGTAACAAGTTCAAGTCACTTCAGAGCGGAAATACCATTAATATATAATTAAAAGAGAAGCCCACAAGCGTGATAACACTGGTCACTGATGGCTCAGGAGAAGGGGTTTATCCTTGATAACATTGAACTGGATCCCTGTGAATGTCCTATCTGCACCACAAAATGGGAAGCACCCAATGCCAATAAACCAACAGATTTCCTTCATGAAAAATGATGTGGATTTTGCAACTTGGTATACACATTGAAATGGAACATGCCTTCTACTGGAAAACATTCACGACTTGGTTTTACATAAGAATAACATGCAGGAATCCAAACATTAGATCAAGATTTTCAAGGGCAGTTGTTTAACCAGAATTTAAAAAAAAATAAAATATAAATACTTAACTCTTCTGCTGAAGTCTGCCGGCGTTATAGAAGTATCTGACCTTAAACGAGTAAAATTTAACCCTAAAGAATGCTACATTTTGACTGGTTAGAAAGTACCTGGTGTGTTCACAGTGGTGGTATCCATTCTGGAGGTCTAGGTTATGGTGACATCACTGCCTTACATTTATTTTGAGAAACTGCTATTTAGTGACTGACCGGCTATGGGTGATACATGCCAGTTACTAATCATTACTCTGGATTTTCAAGAAAGCTGATGGCAAAGTGAAGGTATTGCCCTCCACGACCAACCATAGTTGTAATCTAGACAAGTGTGGGCAATACCCAGTTTCCTTTCCGTTTTTATAAACCAGCAATACTCAGTTTTAAACAGAATAGATGACTTTCTGCAAACTAGATTCTGTAAATCATTGCATGATGAAAACAAAATCCTAAGGAGAAAACAATTTCAGTTTTGAAAGAACGGACAACTTAATCCTTAGCTGTAATTTGGAAATTCTGACTAAAATTATCACATATAAACTATATGAAAAAGAAAGCTCGAGTGAGGCAAAAACATCTGAAGGGAATATTCTATCAACTTGTGAATGCTAATATATTAGAGAGGTATCCAAATACATTCTGACAAAACAGACTCTAGCAGTATTATAAACCATTTCTGTTTTTAACCCAAATTAAAAAGAAAACATTTTATTCTGGATACATATTTGCATTTGCTTATTTAAATATAAATATCAGCATCTGTAATAATTTGTAAAAATTCTGATTTACAACTTTTAGAATAAACATGTTGTCTCTTGAAAACAAACTGTTAACATGAGTAACATGCAGCCACCTAAATGGACCCTGTTATACTCCAATACACAAATTCTAAGTTTTGTTGTAATGCCAAGCACTTTGCTTCTCACATCTCACTATACTATTGGTCAGTAAGATCCGCAATCACAGTGAAGGCCCAACATATATTACCTCTAAATGTGTTTTTTTTTTGTATTGCACAAGGAAAAAAACAGTTTGTTTCCAATAGAATGCATATATAATAAAGAAAGTAGTTTAAGTGGCTAAAGAAACCGCAGGAGTGATGAATGATCACACAGCCAAAAGGAGCATTGTTTGGTGCCCAAGGAACTAAAGGAGAGTTTGTGGTAGCAAACTTGAGAAGGTTGAAGGTACTCTGTTGTAGTTTATTCCTGTCTGACTTTGTAACTCTGTGCTAGTTGCAATTAGCATGAACACAACCAGCAAATTCTTAAGCGACAATGTGGCTCAAAATGATATCTATGAATCCCAATACCTTTTGGGTTTGGGGCTTTCACGTCCATAACTGCTGTTGAATAGCTTTTTATTTTATTTTTTAAAGCCGCTATACTGTCTGAAACATCAAAATGTCAAAGCCATGTATAAAAGAAAATTGTTTACAGTTACATGTGAATACTTAAAAATCCAACCTATGTAAAGCATCAGTGCCTTTGAAGTATAATAATTAAAGGCAGCAAAAAGGGGACGAGAAAGTTAGGGGCAAAAAAGTGTCTCCTACCAAGAAAATGCTAGCAGATCGATATTAATGTTTTCTGCCCATCCTGCAATATAGCTCAACCTAGTTTTCACTTTATCTACTTAGGTTAAAGTGACACTAAACTCACAAGTTAAATCTTAAAACATGCATTCAAGTACCTTCTATTAACAAAAAGTACTACTGTTGACAAAAATGTAGCTTATTTGTGTATCATTCCACTGTAGTTCGTCAAATCCTCTCTGAATTGGTGCTGACACTGTCCTTCCTTCTTGGGTGTGGCTACTTTTGTACCCCATAGTCCCTGTGTGTGTTGTAAAGTAGACACCGCTCCAAGCTCACTTCTGTGATGGACTATAATCTCAATACAAATTAGTAAACTAAACGTGAGATTGTAGTCCATCACAGGAGCAAGCTTGGAGTGGTGACTACTTTACAATACACACAGGGACCATGGGCAACAAAAGTAGCCACCATCCAGAAGGAAGGACAGTGTCAGCAAGAATTCAGAGATGATGTGAGGATCTACAACCAAGTGATATACGAATAAACAACATATTCATTAATGGTTAAGGTGCTTGAATGCATTTTACAGGTAATGAGTTCTAAAAACAATCATTTTTTTACGGAGCATACATGGTTCATGAATGAACTAGAGTTTAATGTGACACCATAACCCTGCAATGAAGAAACCACATTTTCCAAATCAACAATATAACGGCTTCTGTCGACAGACAAGCTACTTGGATGAGAAGGTATAAAGCCAAGAAAACAACAATGTTCTTCTTATAGGCTGTTCTTGAAATCATAGGGCCATGTTCAATAAAACAATAATAAAGAGCTGAAATTAAACGTGTGGCAACCAATTTGATTTCAATCTAGTCAGCTGACTGTAAGATGGATTCGAACTGTTTCCCATCAGTCTGTTCACCTATTACATTCTTCCTGCCTAACTTAAATGTATTATTCTGTAATTCAGTAGCCAGTAGGCTGCCGAAAAGTATACAAGGAATGATTAACAGAGCTTAGATATAAAGAAGCTATTCGGTATTTGAAAACATTGGTTCAGCCACGCAGAGACTGCCACTCTGTCCATTTTGTATAAACTTTTAAACTACAAAGGCCTTTTTTCAAAAGAATGTGCAAAGACCACTGATAATGTACTGTAACGCAAAAAAACTCTCAAAATACCTGAACAATCTGCCTGGATGCAGACGTTGTTCAGGTATTTTCAGAGCCAGCGGGGCCATCTAGCAAGATACTGAAGCTTGGCCCAGAGGGAGATTCTTCCATCCACACAGTTTAGCGTAGATGGAGGAATCTGTTGCGCATTTTCCATCTGAACATAGAAAATCTGCAGATAATCCATAGGTGTATGGCCACCTAAATGCACGTTAGGTCAGTCCTAGTTAGAAACTCTCTTCCTAATAATTTAGTTATCATAGAGATAGGCCTTAGAAAGTCATCATCTTCTTACAATTCACAAGACTGGAATGCTAAAAGGCTGTCTGCTAAAATAACATTAGCCAACAGGTGATAACAATACTGCTTCCAATTTAAGTTTGAACATACAGAGAGTAAATATTGCATGACACAAATAGTTAGGGGCAGTCTTAAGGTGCCCATACACCTGCCAATTATCGTACGATAATCGGCAGGTGTATGGGCAGCGTGCGACCGCATCTACTGTACGGTCGTACGATTTTCGGCTGGTTGGTAGCGTGCTCGGAAGACGAAAGCCGCAAGGGCCGGTTTGCGCAAGCGCATTCTGCCCGCTCAGCATTGCAATCGTCGCAAAATTTTAATGACCTTACAACCATCGCACAACGAAAGTCGTGTGATGGTTGTAAGGTATATGGCCAGCTTTTGGATGTATGGAGTACAAATTAGTGCTTCTGCGGAACAGCTTTTTAGGTAGAAGAGATATGGCAAGTTTAAAAAGTGATAAGCCAGCAGTGTGCTTCATCGACTAGAGGTAGGTACAGGTCAACGGTAGCAGTTACACAATTTAAAATATCACTGAAACTGTAAATGTTTGATATCTATTTAACAGATAACACAGCTAAACATTATTTTTGCTGTTTCCCATGAAACCTGGGTACTTTGCTGGGCTGGACTGGTTAGGTTTTTGACTTTGCTATACCATTTCTCTAATGCTAATTGTGTTAAAAAATCTGTGTGCTAACTAATTCAGCAATCAGACTGTTATTGTCATTATGGAGAAAGTTGTAACAGTATGACATGGACCCTTGCTATATACTAAACTCATTTTCATAAAATAATCTGCTAAATCTGGGATTCTCAGCATGTGTACTATTTGGTTAAAGGAAAAAAATATAGCTGCTACTGTGATTACCATGACTGTCTGATTCACAGAGAATAATTTCCACAGAGACGCAGACATTTTAATTCTGTCATCGCTGCTGGCTTCTACATTTCAATAAAATTAATTCCTGCTAGCCCTTACAAGACATCAGTTATGATACTAATTCCTTACCTCAGATTTTTCCACCTTTGTCTGTGCATCAATCTGTATAACAATTTCATTCATATTGGTCTCTAGAACCATACCGCCCATCACCATTTCTGCCAGGATGTTGTGGACCTAAAAAACAGTAAAACACAATCATACTACTAACAATATACACATACTGATGACCTTGTCCATCCAGAATTGATATATTTCTGATTTGGGTGAAGGACTATAAAGATGAATCACTCTCTTTAGCTTCTTTTGAAGGTTCTACATCCCTGCTAGGGTTCTCACATCTGCTACTCCAATTAAAAGGGAAGGTCACACTGCCCCTGCTGGATTCTCCACACGGTAAAATAAACTAATCATACAACAAAATGATAATAGAATTGTTTTTATAAAATGATAAACTCCCAGAGATCAATTTAACAAAACAATTGGTTATATCTAAAAGAAAATTGAGATATCAGTTCAGAATTTTCAGATAATTTTTTTTAACAAAATATAAATCGGAAATGATCATCTGTTAAATCAATTGTTAGTTTATCTGAACCTGTGTAACCAACAAGTGAATGTCTAAGGTAGGGTTAGATGCTGCTGGATCCTTCAAAGCAGTGGTTCTCAACCTTTGTAATCTCAGGACCCACATTTGTTCTTGGTCATTAGGTTGCTAGCCATAATTAATTAAAGGTTCACTGTGATACCGAACATGTGTGGTGTAATCGGCGTACACATGCATGCCCCACGCGCACATATTTATTCACAGGCAGATGGCGGGGACAGCTGGGTTGGTTTTAATTGTTTGTTTTTTTTACATTGTTATATATTTTTATTATTATTTCTATCTGCCCTGAATTTTCCATGGTCCCAGATCCACCAGAAGAACAGTTGACCCAGAAAAGTACGGCAGGTGGTGGGGGACACCACACAAGCAGGCTGCTACAAGTGATATGCAGGCTATACAGCTGCCCAGATCACTTGTAGAAAACGAGCAATGGGGCCCCTGCTAATGCACCCTGCACTGACAGGTGAAGAGCTAGCAGCATGGACATTATGATCTGTTTTCATCTGTTCACCACATATTATGATGAAAAAAATTGCACACCTCTCATCGCCTGCCTACCTTTCTCAGCCTCCTCGGTCCCTGGGCAGGCTGTACTCCCTATCTGAAATTCATCTGCCGCGCTGGGGCGGATGGATATCTGCCACAGTGGGGAGGACAGTGCAGCCTGGGAACTTTAACTTAATTACTTACAGCTCCCGATATTACTCCGCAGGCCGAGAGTGGTGAAATAGTCCCCTTGCTCCCTATCGCTTCACCAGGGGACCCGAGGACAGAGGGGATTGTTTTATAATACATAGGAGTCTCCTGCACGCTGCCACAAAAAGTTCACTCTCTGTCTACCTGCTGAATGGGGCAGGAGTGCCAGCTCTATGGACTAAGGATCCCACGACCCACTGAAGATGGGGTTGCAACCCACTTTTGGGTCACACAACATACACACCCATCGCACTCCTGACCGGATAAAAAACCCTAATTGTAGGGTGGGTGCTGAAATGACTGCGGATGCCCCCGCAAAATAAGTCCAAAAAATACAAAAAAGGTCACAAGCAAAAACTGTTATCTGTTTTGCCTGAGAAAGGGACTTTGCTGTTCCAAAACATCGCTCTGATGATGTGACACCTGTGAAGTCAATAAACATTGACTTTTCTACATGCTGGAGTGCTTGTGACCTTTTTTGTATTTTTTCCACTTTTGGGTCACGACCCACTAGTTGAGAACCATGGCTTTAAAGTATTTGTTAACCTTAACCCAATAGTGTGGAGATGGTGTTGATACAAGATGTGTGGACATTGGGCTCACAGCTTCTGCACACAAAAGGGCTTCCACAGTCACCTCAGCCTTTTACTTGAATGAGTAAACCTTAACCCCCAGAACACTTCAAAAGAACACATATTAGTGTGGGAGAGCTGAAGAAATCCGAGCGTCTTGCAGTCTAGAGGGGAGCATTTGTGGGCGGTGACTGAGAAGAGGCAAAAATCACAAGAAGTCCTCAGCATGTTGTAGTCCTCAACATGAACGAGCACAGAGGGTGGCTACTTTTCAGCTCCCACAGGGACCATGGAGAAGAAAAGTAGCCACCTTCCGGCAGGAAGTTGTGGCTGGAGAAAAATAAAACGGATTTTGGAGCATTTAGAAACCATAGACTTACCATGCGTCTCTCCGCGTCTCCCGGCCGAAAATCCGAACTGCGCATGCGCCTGCCTCAAGAAGCTTTGTGGCCGCCCGAGCAGTTTCAGATTTTCTGACGGGAGCGCGCGGCGATGTCAACTGGTTAAACCGCTGTTAAATCGGTTAAAAAAAACAACTATTTGCATATATCTACTGCTTGCTAGCAGTAGATATATGCAAAAAAAACCGGAGGGTTTAGAAACCCTTTAAGGCAGGACACTGCCAGATCGCAGAAACAGCCCACTTCCTGAAAAAACCCTCCTTAATTGGGTATTAGACCGCAAAACATTTGGAAAATGTAAAAACAGTCCATGAGTTTTCCAGTAATTCTAGAGAACCTATGGAAATAGCTTGTGAAACTTTAGTGGTCTTAGGGCCTCTTAGGGATCCTAGACTAGTAACAGCACTAGTAAAAGTTACAGGCTGCACTACATCTTTAAACTGCGCGCACTGCGTCAATAAGAGCCAAAATGTGGCTCCTCAAGGATATCATTCTAAAGGATTTTCAGAACTTCATCAGATACAGCTTTCCTAGCCAATGGTTCAGAGGCCGCAGGCAGATCGGATAATGATTCTGGAGAAGTGCCCGCCCACACACTTGCAGCACCTAGTAATGCAGCACTTAATTCCTTAGCATTTTAACTCTTTCTGTGGAGACCAATGAAAAATAAGGGGATACAAATTGCACCCAATGATCCATTAATCATAGCAGCTCCCGATGCTCAACCCACATGGCCTACTCATAAATAAGTCTTCATATACAGAGGCTGTGCCATGGGTCTGCACTTGGAAAGCATTCTATGGCTGACACAGAGGTCTGGAAAACATCACAGAGCCCAGTGTCAGAAGGTCACATTTCGGGAAGGTCAGTGGAGTCCCGGTTCCAAAGCTATTGCTGAGGATATGCCAGTCTGGATAGCTGCATACATATAGATCAGCTCAGCAGATGGTAAAGGAAGTCTTCGACTGAAGCAAAAATGATCTTGGGGGGGAAAAAAGTGCAAAAATGGCTAGCAAAAAAATATTAAACTTCTTAGTAGAAAGAAGACATCCACTCTCCTAAAACACTAGCAAAACTGAGGCATCATGGGAGTAGGAGGGGTTATACCAGGCTAGTCACTGGGTTTTGTTGTTATTGTTTGCCAGTGTCCAACTCCTACTGCAAGAGGCTGTATAACCCAAATGTCTCTGAATCGTATGTCACTCAATAGACAAAAAAGAAAATATCTGTTGATCCTGCCAGAAGTCCAGTGCTGTTCTATACATTCTGCAGTGTTATTCATTATCATCCCAGCTTAATTCTCGGTGGACTATAGAACAGCACCCTCCTAAATTATGGAATTGAAGAGGGGGGCTCAAATCAGCAGCAATCAGCCTAGGATGACAATACTACTCTGTTATAGATGCAGTACAGTGAGTAATCATTATCAGCTTAGGGCAGGAAGTATGTTACTGACGGGATCACAAGGTGGAAATGAAAAAAAAAAAGCCCAATAATGAAAAGTAATACAGCCACCACATCTAAGGACTGGTAAGCTGCAATTTATTAAATGTTTGCACTTGGGTTAAGACACTTCATAGGAGAACAGGTACGGTAACTAGGTCTCCCCTACTCTAAGGATGTTCTTTATAGCATTAGGAATCCAATACCTTTAAGCACTCTTTCACTCAAAAACACTACATTGCTTCACTGTACTCCTCCTCAATATGTTTACTTCTGTGTGTATACCTTCCAGCCCACCCTTTGCCTCCATTCTCACCTACACAAAAATGACGCTTAACCTTGCTCCTGTGATGTGCATATCACACCAGGCATCAGCAGAGAAGTCACACAGTACTGCAGGCAGGACCTAACGGATCGGCATGTGGAGTCAGCTGCAAAAAGCAGAAGAAACAGCTGACTCCTGAAAATGGGAGAGAGGAAGATGGTGATGCAAGATCAGGAAAGTGGCAGCGGAGCTTCAGATCAGAGCACAATCCTGAATTTTCTGGTGTGAGGGTATGTTAATTTAACAACCCACAGTAATTAGTGTATGAGAGATTAGGAAGCATTTACATGGTCACCATTCAATCTCAGCAGTACTATACGGAAGAACATGCACAACATTTTTTTAATGTTCGAGTTTTAACTAAATCGGCTCCCCCACTGTTCATCACACCTACCTGTTAGCCAATTGGTTTGCAGAGTATACTTAAGTCCATCAAAAGCTGGGACTTGTATAGACTTGGATACTACTTCCTGTGTACTCGATCTCCCACAGAAGCCTGGATAATCAGCTAGTGATAATGTAAGCGTCCACCAGTCTGTTCATTTTAGCAGGAGGTAAAGGCTAAGTTCACTTTTTGGACCAGGTTTCATGTTACACCTATATTCAAGGTGTAACATAAAACATAAATCACATCAGCACCCCTGCCCAACCAGACCCGCTCCCCCAGTTACCTGAATCACGGGGTCCTTCTTCCTGCAGGCTACTGCTCTATGTTGAATTTTGCACGATTGTGGCTCTGCCCACACAGACATCATCCTTTGACAAGTTCCGTCACCTCACTTGGAGTCACCGTGGCATTACTGCACTTGTAGTCCTTCCAATCTTCCTCATGTTCATGTTACTGAAGGTCCTTACTGAGGTATGGACATGGACGGGAGGAAGAATCTACAGGAGTCAGAGCGCTGCACCCGCAATCTACATGTCAAATGCACATTTTTTTTCTCTTTTACGGAGAAGTGCACATTTATTATTTTTGCACAAAAAGAGGACCTTGCCTTTAAAGCAACCCTGTTAAACTAAGTTCAAGCAGAACTCCTGGCAAATAAGTTCTTAACCCTTGCAAAGGGGCTACCCCAGCACTGAAAGGGTTAAGTGCTTGCTTTATCTATGGCGCTTAAGTAAAGTTTTAC